GGCCTGCATTGGGCTTGCAGCCTCAGTCAGTGCCTTTCTTTCTTTTCTTTCTTAAAATTTATTTATTTTTAAAAATTTATTTATTTGACACAGAGAGACACAGCGAGAGAGGGAACACAAGCAGGGGGAGTGGGAGAGGGAGAAGCAGGCTTCCCGCTGAGCAGGGAACCTGATGTGGGACTCGATCCTAGGACCCCGGGATCATAACCTGAGCCGAAGGAAGACGCTTAACGACTGAGCCACCCAGGCGCCCCTCTTTCTTAAAAAATTTCTGAAGACTTTATTTATTTGACAGAGAGAGAGAGAGAGAGAGAGAGAGAGAGAGAGAGAGAGAGAGAGAGCACAAGCAAGGGGAGTGGCCAAAGGGAAAGGGAGAAGCTCCTGCTGAGCAGGGAGCCTGATGCGGGGCTCCATCCACGACTCTGGGGAAGATCATGACCTGAGCAGAAGGCAGACACTTAACCACTGAGCCACCCAGGTGTCCCCAGTCAATGCCTTCGTATGCTGTCTTTGCTCAGGGACAGAGACAGGACACCTGGTGGAGACTCCTGTGGGCCCCAGTGATGGTCAGGATGGTATGAACAAGTCTGGTTTCCCAAATGACTGACCCAATGATGGGATAGTTTATCGTGAAGCAAAACCTACTGCACAACGATTGCTTTAATGGTGAAATTCCACTCCTCCCACAGGAGGAATTTGTTTTGGTCCTCCAGCTGTCAGACCTACGCTGTCTAAATGTCAATATAACAAGGCATATGTTTAATCTCGCGGGAAGAATTTAGAATATTATGTGGCAGATTCAGGCTCCTGAACCTGACATTTTTGGCACGTTCAGACCTCTGGAGCTGGTCTATTTTGTGGCCCAGGGTACGTGAATAATGACATCTCCTCTCCAATTTGTGCCTTTCTTTGCATTTTAAGTATTAGATATGAAAAAAAATATTTTTCTCAATTCTTAGTATCTTCTGGAATTTCACAGTTTTGAAACCGGGGAATAGATTTTTTTTTTTTTCCCACATAGATGTGAGGGTCTTTAAAAAAACTTGTCTTTTAATACATGGTTCACTCTTGGCCAAAATCCTGATGAGAAGCAGGCAAGATAGTAACCATATAGTTAAAAATATGTAAAAGCACCACTTTGGGCTCCTCTCAGCGCTGCCTGGGCTCCTCAGAGCAAACCTCCTCTAACTATACTTTAGCTCTGAAATCAGATAAATTTGATAAAAATAGAAATGGGTGATTCTATTCTTTATGAAGCAAGACAAATTATGCTTTGGGAGAAAATAATTTGCTATAAAGTATAAAATGTTTTAATATTTATATCTCATAATAAAACCATGACATGTTTATAAACACTCTATCAGGCATTTTTACAACGGGGCCACCGCTGACAACTAGCAACGCAATAAAATATGCACAGACAACACTGAGTATGAAATATACATCTTGATTTTATAATTGTGTGTGCTTTATTTTTTACACAAATGGAATGGAAGTGTCGAATATTTACACTTAACAGGAGTGTAAGCTGTGCAGTGTCTCTGTAAACTCCAGCCCGGGCAAGGAGTGTTTCCTCCCTCCCTCTCCTCCTGCACTACAGCTCGATGGAGAAACATCCTGTCAGAGAGAAGCACGAAACTGTCATATTGAAAGGATCTAATGGGTACAGCCTGGTGCACTCAGAATTTGACACACTTAGGAAACACAAATTCAAAAAGGAGAGAAGAAAAGTTTGCCATCTCATTGGGAGTCAACCTTGCCATTTGGTTGTCTGTCCTCGTGAGTTGCTAGGGAGATTCTGTATTCCGCCTTTTAGGTGATCTTTGTTTAAATCATCCACCTGTCTTAGCTTGTCCTCAGCTGCTACAAGAAACTGCACAGCTGTACAAGAAATGATTTCCAAAGCACAGTTTTCAGTGAGGAAGGATATTTACAGACTGGAGTGTGTGTGTGGGTTTCCATCCACATTCATTCATACCCAATGTAGTATGTGTATACATGATATACATACCACATAGACCATACATACACAGAAGTAAAATGCATATCCACAGAATTCTGTAGGGAGATCTCTGGCAAATCAGTCGTTAGCATGTCACTCCACATGCTTTCAGAGAAATGTCCCCTTTTCCCCCTGGGAGTGACAAATGACCACGATAAGCTTAGGAACTAGCCCGAGTCCTTGACTTAAATACTTTTGTAGGAATTTAGGCAGGACCAAGACAGGAAAAAAAGAGATGTTATTTCATCAGCAAGTCCATTCAATCTCACCAGAGCAATCACCAGCTGAAAAGCAGAGGGGGCTTCACATGAAAATGGGGGGGGGAAGCTTATGAATGGGGAGAAAATGTCTCTCTCCAAACCAAGGCGATGGCATGGCTTCAATGAGAAGAAAGAGGTTTGCTGTCAGAATGATTTCGGGGCCAGAGTCTGCCTTTGTAGATAGGAGGTGTCCTCAGAGCCACGGGATGGTGCTGGGAGTGGGCTCAGTGTGGACCAGCCTTCAGGCAGAGAGGCACCCAGGTGCTGCGGGGCCCAGAATGCATGTGCATCGTCACTGCCAGGGCAGCGGTGCAGGCTGGCTCAGTGAGGCGTGCTGGAGCTGGCTCCAGCCCGGGACCTCATGCTCAGCTTTGCTTTCTGGGCTGTGTAAGTGAAACGGTGACCCACAGGAATTGTGTCATCGGTCCAGTGTATGGACTTGCTGTCCAAATCAGCCATGAGCCCTTATAGGACAGAAAAATCACAGAGTGGGGTATGGGACAGGAGATGCTCAGTATGTGTGAGGAGGAGAGAAAGGACAGGAAAGGAGGGGAAAGAGGAACGAGGCAGGGGGAAGAGAGACCCAAAGGGGGTAGAGAAATAGGGAAGTTAAAGGGAGGGAGTAATGAGAGACTGCAGAAGGAAGGCAGCACTCGGGGAAGACAGGCCAGTAGGAGAAAAGGAGAGGTGCGCAAAGAGAGCGATGGAATGAGATAGAAATGGAAAGGGGAGAGCAGAAAAAGAAGGAGGGAAAACCAGAGGCGAGAGCCAGAGGCGTGGAGAGCTTTTCCCTGGCTCAGAGTCTGGAAGGGCTGGCAGTAGGATCTAAGACAGCTCACAGGCACCTGAGTGCAGCTTCGTAAAGATGGGCTCACTGAGCAGATGGCGCCAAGCCAAGAACTTGGGGCTGGTGGTGGGGGGGTGCGGGGGCGGGGAGAGGCCAGCAAAGAAATGGCCAACAGATCCTGTGGGAGGAGAGCAAAATACAAATGCCCCTGCAATTAGCTGACAAATGCGATTTTGAGTTTGGTAAAGCTGAGACCCCCGTGGTGCTACACATTGTACCAGAGCATGAAAAATAGCACCAGTGACACGATCTGGCACTTTTCCGAAAGGGCCCAGCATGTAAAGGTGACGTTGCGCCCCCAGCAAGCCTTCAGATTGGAGAGAGCTCCGGACAAAGTTTGCAGTGTTAGCACCAGTCTGGCCCCAGGCTCCAAGTGCATTTGCACCAGATGTAATCTGGGTAACTTTCCTGCCATATCCGTACAATCATCAGATTTGCTGCAAAATACACCAGTTCATTGGAGCCATAGAGACCTCAACATTGGGAAGCGCAAGACAACACAACAAATGGAGGTGTAAATTCTATAGGAAAAGACCCTCTCACCAATTTGCTTGGTGATTCTTCAAGCAAATATATATGTATATATATTTATATAAATCTACATAAAAAATCAGTGCAAATGCCAACTCTAATCTGGAAGCATCTACACTAGGAAAATAAATAATCATATTACTACAAAACCAAGGGTTGGTGGTTCAATTTGATTGTACTCAGCCACAGCAATACTAAATATTAAATGGAAAGCACATCACACGACCCGCGGAAACATCTACTCATTAATGACAGTCCTTTAAATAAATGGTTGCATGCTCAGTTGAGAAACCAAAGAAGTTATTATGGTGGCCTAAAAATAGAGCTGGGATCAGGAATGGCATTCTGGCGGCAGAAAACTTCTGGCAGCAATATTGATGAAAGTAGGCCTTGACCTGAAACTGGCGAATTGCAGCCATGGACATACCTTTAAACATTTTGAGCACTCTAAGGAAGTCCCCCCCCAAATGTGACTTTCATCAGAGGGAAAATGCATTGCTAGCCCTTCGGTTGGCAAAGGTAGCCTCAAGACTATAGGTAGATGCATAATTTTGCATTTCTGTGTTTGTTTTGGTGACTGCAGCGAGGCAGACAGTGGTAGTTAGTGTAAGATGAACAACCTTGGGTTTGGAAAGAGACCCTCATTCTGAGCTCCGATGTTCTTACTGTGAAGAAGCCCCATCACTGCTGATGGCTCTATCTCTTGCTCTCCCATCCCAGCCTGCATGCTGGTTTGCTGCACAGTGTGGCAGAATCCCTGCCAGGTCTGGATGTACCCCAGAAATAAGGCGATGGGGCTTAGTCTGGGCATGCATAGAACCCAGAGTTGAGTGGTTATTGAGATCACCGACAAGTCTCTCTCTAAACACCGTGGGCACAAGCAATGCTGATGTCATCATCAGCTCTAAAGTGGGATATAGGCTTCGGGAGGTTTTTTTAAATCATCATTATAATTGCTAAAAAATAAACTTGGTCCAGGTGCAGCCCCCAAGAAAGGCAGTTCAATTGGTTGAGCTCAAAGCTGTTAATTGTCTTTTCTTGTGGTTCTCTTTGCCCTGTACACAGAAACAAAAGTCTGCACCCCTCAACCCCCCAACGAGATACTTCTCTCTTCCTCAAAGAAATAGTGCTTCTTGGGACAGATCTCTCCATGGCTCGATACCATCTCTGGTTACAAAACCCTCAGTTACTTGTGAAACAGACAAAAAAACAAAAACAAAAACAAAAACAAAAACAAAAAAAACAACATCAGAAAAACAAAACTCCTAATTACTCATGGTTGGCCAAAATACTAAATGATCCTTGAGAATTGCATGTAAGTAACTAGAAACAAAGTTATTCAACTATTTGCATGGCAGGCCCAGGTTAATAAGATAAAAGCAAAAACTTCCCTTTAGATCATTTACATGAGTTTGTCTCTGAAAGCCATCAGCTTAAAAATGCATTAACCAAATGTCATCCAAAAACACCCATGAGGGCAACTCATTAAGGGATGTGCTCCATGAGAGTGTGTCACTAATATGGAAGGGAGATCATGGGAGGTAAGTGAGGGAGAAGTCTTTGTCAGACTTTGGAAAGAACTCAGATGCTCTTAATGGATCATTGGCAACAAAAGGGAGAGTGCAAGTTTCAGTTCTTGAATTTGATCATCTGCTGATAGTGCATACATTTAGTCTTTCAATTAGTCTTTACAAAATATTTCACAAAACTTTTTTAACCTATAGAAATTCGTTTCTATACATTTAATATATTTTATTGTATAAATTATTCTCATCTTTAGTGCCTCCTTTCAGTTTATAAATGGCAAAATAGACAATAAACAATCATAAAGCTAACCTCAGGTGGAACCCCCTCCTCTCAGGGAGGTCAGTCCTCCATACACTTGTGAATTTTATGAAATGCTCGTCTTTGTAGATGCCAGTCAAAGAAACTACACACTTATCCTTCCCTGATATTATGCCGTCTCCAAAGGGACTCCTTTCCTTTTTCCTTCTTTCTTTCTTTTGCTCGTTAAGAAATCAAAGAGTGTGCATAGTTACAAAATTCAAAGTGTACCAATTACAGATGTGGGTAATGGGAAGGTTGGTGAAGTTCAAGTGCTGGCAACTTTTCTTTAAAGCAAAAGACACAGAGAGCTCAGCAGCTAAATCAGCTCTGGACATCTGCTGGGGTGAGGAGGCTGCCCACCTCTTGGGCAGAAAGCCCATCAGAGGTTCATCCCTACACCTGGCACTTTGAGCAAACCAAAGCCTTCCTGCATACTGCAATGTCTTTTCTGTCCCACCCTGTGGCCCCTCCGTTTCCTTCATGGCTTCACACAGTTTGTGTTGTACATTCATAAGAATTCACATTGACTGCAAAAACATAAATGCAACAAAAACATAAAAGCCTCCAAGTAGTATATTATATATATTTTGTTCTTCTAAATGCTCTTCTGTCATTGTCGGAGGTGCAGTAGCTAATTTATAACTTTTCCTTTGAGGGAATCCAGATGAAAGGCCCAGATTGCTCTTCAATAACAAGCTTGCATTGATTATATATATCTTCTAAGGTGTCTCCTTGGACAATAGCTAGAACAAGAGTAAACACGCCAGAGTTAGGAATCGTTCCCTGCCTGGTAAAGAACAGCCCTCAGTCACACAGCAGAAGCTCAAACCAGTGACAGATGAACTCATCTGGAAGCTTCATATTACTTTTCATTAGTAAGAAAAGTGGGAAATTTACTTAAGCAAGGTCACGTCAGTGATTAAAAGAAAAAAAAAATGCTTTCAGTGCATGTCCCGGATCAGGTAACAAATGCACCCCAGTCTTTTTACCTTCTATACGTCTGTCTGTGGTTCTGGAAAATGAATCATTTATATATTTAAATTTTATGGGTGCTTACTCTGGGCCAGGCACCAGGCTAGGCACTGATCAGTTTTCAGATTGAGATCTCCTTGCTTATCAAAAGAAAGCTGGCTTTTTATTCTATATACTGTGTGTACCTTGGCAGGTGCAGAAATTTAGACATTTTCAACATAGAGGAAATAATAAGGTTGTGGAGGCAACTTGAGTTAACCCCTTCATTCCCCAAGCCCTTAATAGGAAACCCCATTCATTCTCCAAGTAATCTGGTAAATTGATATTTTGCTATAACAGGGCCACTCATACTGGGAATGCTTTATGACAGCTACTTATAAGAAACATAAATAAGAGGAAATATACACAAACAGCTAATCTGTGAATTACCTAAAATACCAAGTCACCTGAAACAGATTTAAGTATATTTCATAATGTCCTTTGAACTAAAGTTAGCTTACAGAGAGATCTCCAAAACATGTCAGTACTATCTGTAGGACATTAGGGATTAACAATGAATTGCTACTGAAACATAGTTAGATCTTAAAAGCAACCCTGAGAATATATTGTTACTGTATTTTATTTCTGAGTATGAACCACTGGTCAAAATGTGCATAACTGTGATCTGATGTTTATACCTGGATGTTCTTTCAGGATAAAACACAACTCATACCTTTGTTACTGATCGAAATTTTACTTAAGATTACTTGGTTCAACATATTTGCAAACTGCTAAGTCATTGGCATTTTCATATTCTGAGTAAGACAAACAGTAAAGCATCTAACTTCTCATAAGGAAGTTCAGGAGGAAACTTCTTGTTTTTAAACCATTTGTTGTAAGGCAATTTCCACACAGTTTGATTACTCTTTGGATTTGATCAGTGTTTCATGAACATGGGTAAGAACAGAGAACCCGGGATTCCCGGGGCAAGAAAATCTTCCTCTATTCCCCAAACTTCATGTTTCCAAGGAAATATTTAAAAAGAAAAGCAAAGTTTTGCCCTGGGACTTGATGTGGAATCAATGGAAACACAGGGAAGTGGTTCAGCATCTTGTTCAATAGCTGCTAACAGGACGCAGACCTGCCGGTCATCAAAGCAGAGAACGGAGCCCTGAGACTGCTTCTTATGAGGCATTGCTTTGGATGTTCCCTAACTGAGCCCTAAAGGTTTCTTTTTCAAGTTTTCTGATGATATCAGGGAGATAGTTTAATACCTAAAATCTTCTCCGTTTTTTTTTTTTTTTTTTTTTTTTTTTTTGGAGAGGGAGCGAAGGGGGAGGGGCAGAGAGATTTCCAAGCAGGCTCCATGCCCAGCACAGAGCCGGATCCCGGGACCATTAGATTTGACCTGAGCCGAAATCAAGAGTCGGACGCTTAACCGACTGAGCCACCCAGGCGCCCTGCCTGAAATCTTCTTAATAGCAGGAGATAGCTCAGTGCCATCCGTGGCTCATGCTTTTGCATAGGGCCACTGGGAACCTAGAGCTGGCTGCGGCTGAATCCAGAGAAGACAGAACCCAGAGTTCTGGACCAGATCGGTAACGCAGAGGGAAATTAGAGTTTCTCAGTGGGAAGGTTTTAGGGCCCAGGTATACCCGGCCCGGAGCCCTCTCTAATGCTAAATGTCAGACCATCGATCTTTTCTCACAGTCCAAGGGTGAATGAACTTACCTGTAAAATATTCTCCAAATTCTTGTTCTAGCTTAATTGCACGATCATAGGTTTTCTTGGCTTGTTCCTCTGTTAGACGCTTATTCATCTCCCTGGAGAAATGAGGGTTTGTTATTAGAACACACAGGGAATGTGCCAAATCCTTTAAAATGTGTGTCAAAATGAATCCTGCAGGAAGCACAATGTAATCTTACTAGAGGCTTCTTAGTCCTTATTCGGGACTCTTTTTGCTGGAAGAATTTCAGCAACAAGGACACCCTCCCAAGAGCGCTCCCTCCCAGAGGGCAGTCTCTCGGTTTCACACTGGACTGATGCAGAATCTGTCTCTCTCTGACTTCCAGGCACTGGCCCCTGTTCCATCCTCTGTAGTCACATAGGACTAAACCTCTTTCCTCCATGACAGGCACTGGGGTCTTTAAATCAAGTGCTCATATGTCCCTTGAGGCTACCACTCCTTCAGAATAAACTGTCCTACTTCCTTCATCTCTTCTCCCATTGGATGCAATTTCCAAATCCTTGCCTTCCTGGTTACCTGTCCTTGGACTTTGTCCTAGACTGTCTCGACCTCTCTTAAACATGGGGCATAGATTCGAACGAAATCTTCTAGGGGTGGTCAGAGGCAGGGAGAGGAGATGGAGAGGAGGGAGGGGACATCATCACATTCTGTCCCTCAGCACATCTGAGAGAACTAGACTTGACTCTTGGCAGGGTCTGCCATCCCAGGAACCTTTGAATTCTCTACTCCCCATCTTCCCCACGGGCTGCTGTTCATCTTCAGTGTGTAGCAGGAAATGTCTGGAGTGGGGAAATAGAAAGTGCTTCCCGAGAATTCTAGAAAAGGTGACAGGCTCCTCAGGAATGTGCATCTTTCAGGCTGAAGGGGCATTCTGTGGCTCTCCCTGCTCAACTTCTGCAAAGGGCGAGGCATGTCTACAGCAACAAGAGGCCTGAACTGCATCTGTTTGGTTTTTTTTTAAAGATTTATTTATTTATTTGAGAGAGAGAGAAAACGAGTGGGGGGAGGGGCAGCACACTCCCCGCTGAGTGCGGAGCAATCCCATGACCCTGAGATCATGGCCTGAGCGGAAACCAACAGCCGGACGCTGAATAGACTGAGCCACCCAGGCGCCCTGAACTTCATCTGCTTTTATAATCAAATGGCATTAGGATTGGCTGAGGGAGGCATGAATAAATGGACACAGAGAGAATGTAACAATCAAACGTGCTGGGACCAAAATATTTTCAAATAGATTATAAGCAAGTAACCTCCATAGAGAACAAGGATAGAGAATCTTGGTAAGAGGCTCCAGGGTTGACTTGGTTTTGTTGTTGTTCTGATAGGAGAATGGGCTATAAAGGAATTATGCCTGGGACTCTCTCTGTGTCCCTTTCTTTCTGTTAGTCTGTCAACTCTTGGTGTATATAAGTGCAGCTTAATTATTGTAAGATTACTGAAATCCAACCTCAAGGACAAATTGAGCGGGCAGGAAATGGAAAATAACCCAACCTACTGATTCCTAACCAGGGGCAGCTTTATCTTCTCAGGTCCTCTAGGTGGTAACATTTTTTGCTTACCAAACAAACTGTACTTCTTAAATAAAAATTATATTATCTTCCTGTTTTTTTAAATCAAAGACATTTTATTGATCAAAGACTGACAATGCTTGCCTCTGATCATCATATGAATAGAAGCATGGCTGCACTGGGCTGATAAAAGCCTAGCCAAGGGCAGAGGTATTTTGGTTGGCCCACTGGGATGCATCACAGGGGCAAGTAGAATATTGAAAGCACTGCTGCCTTTGCATGCCCCTGAGGAAGCCAGAGACTGGGGTCTGGTTTTAAGCATGTCACTGTGGTTTTAGAGCATGTCACTGTGGCCTGAAGTAATAAAGAGACTTGAGAAGGTAAAAGAGTAAATCTGATGTCAGAACTCAAAGTTTTGGGGTTCTTTAATTTTTTTTAAATTTTTTATTGTTATGTTAATCACCATACATCATTAGTTTTTGATGTAGTGTTCCATGATTCACTGTTTGTGCATAACACCCAGTGCTCCACGCAGAACGTGCCCTCTTTAATACCCATCACCAGACTAACCCATCTCCCCACCCCCCCTCCCCGCTAGAACCCTCAGTTTGTTTTTCAGAGTCCATAGTCTTTCATGGTTCGTCTCCTTGGGGTTCTTTTAAAGCCAACTTTTAGTCAAACAGATTTTCCGTTATACTAAGACTTTCGTAAGGGGCTTATTTGGAAAAAAAAAATTAAAAACTGAAGTCAGACATTAACATGATTCCGGACATGATCTGATGGCTGCAACAGAAAAAAAAAAAAAAGGAATTTCCTGAACTCTTGATGTGGAGATAAACTCATCTTGTCCTAGGGATGCTATCTACGATTCTCCTCCCAAATAGCACTAGTCCTAGAAGCTGTGAGTGGATGTCACCTTTGGGTTCAGAAGATGCTGGTCTAAACCCAGGGATATTTTTCACAAAAAGACAGGGTTATGCTCCAGATGTCAAGAAATCATGTGGCTCTGGATCTTCTTTGACTTCCTCTATGCTAGCCTGTGTTCTCTGAATTCCCTTTGCACTTACTCTAGCCATCACTGAATTTCCATTTTTATCCTCTAACATATCTATGATATCCTTTGTCTCCTTGCCTAACCTGTGAGTTCACTGAGGGCAGAGACCAGGGTTTGTACATCGGCTTGTGTCATGGAGCCTGGCTCAAGACTTCTTTGTTAAATGACTAAGTGAATGAATGAATGGAGGACTAGACAAATCAACATAATTATGATACAGTTGAAGACAGAAGAAAACATGGGCCACCGCGGGAGCAAGAAGGTAAAAGCAGATTGGGGTTGGCAAGGTAAAGAGACACGGGAAAGTTTCCCAATGCCATGGGGTTGGGGTGAGGAACAGGGGTCATGCAGTGGCACTCTATAAAAAGAACACCCCTTTCCTCCACAGCCTTGATTTTATGCTCCTCTGAAGAGTCAGTTATGTATGTGCTAATAAGCTCTGTGGTTTGATGTGGATGATGCACTTGAGAAATACTGTGTGTGATGCTGTATCAAGGCCCAAATGTGACAGTGGCCATGCTTTTGTTCCAGTTGACCTAGCATTCACTCCTCCCCGGGGAGTGGGCAGATCATGCCAGCTTTGGTCCTGAAGTAAAACCCTTGGCAAAGAGGGAACTGGAAAGTAAACATCCAGCGTTTAATAATAAGATCCCATTAGTCTGAATGTCACCATCACGGCACTCGAGACTCATGAATATGGCTGCAGCAAATTATGTCAGGTTCACAGTCCTCGTTGTGGGATCCAGCCATCGGAATGTTTAATTTTCCTTGGTGATAAGTGGCTGTGACAGTGCCCCGAGGCAAAACTAAATAAGTCATCTCGTAGTTGTGGAAGGAAGGAGAACTTCTCCTATGGAGCACCAGATGGGAATATCTCCCACTATCACACTGAAGCACATGGGCAACTGCTGTCTCCCTCAGGCCTCACTTCCCTGGGAAGCCATTTATCCCCCCGCGTATTTATGATGTGAAAACTTATTCTTCTATTTCTGAAACAGGCCTTTAAGATGCTGTTCCCAGGAGGTGAGGGCCATTTTTCTGTTCTTCTTTTTCATGTTAGCATTGCTAATAATATTTATGAGGCTCTTTACAGATTATAAATCACTTTTACATAATGAAATTTATGGTTGCTTAATTTACTCTGTGCACTACCCAACACTGTATTCTAGATGAGGAGAGATTTCAAGCATGCTACCAGGGATAACACTATCAAGAACCAGTATTTTATCATCAACACACATTTTTTCCACCTGCCAACTCTGGGCAAAGCTCTTGACATTATAATTTAACACCTAAATTCTCAGGGCAGAAGGTGCTGTCAGTGACCTCCTGATTTTATTTTTTCACCTTGGTAAGAACTGTTGTCCATCTTTTATTTATGTGAATGTATTCTGCTTTTAAGGCACCTCTCTGGCAATTTCCCCAGAGACTGACTGTGTATTTAACTTAATTCTCTTAGGTTGCAATTCCAGCTGCTGCAGCTTGCTCTGTTTCTTCACTCCTAGACAAGACATGGAAGAGTTGGCTGATACCTTCTGCAAGTAATTGTTTCACCTCTGGGATTAAGTAATTTCTTTCTCTTTGGTTTTTCCATGTGCACTGTTCTCCAGTACTCTGTGGCTCACTTCTGAACCCTGTCAAGCGCTCTAAGATCTCGAGGGCCAAATGGAGGCACATTTGAGCAAAGCTCTTGCCAACAGATACATTGGCATTATCTCTTGTAACCTCATGGAAAAGGTAGTTTATGTGTTTTGTGATGATAAAATAGTTTTATTCCTTTTACAGGGAAGTAACTTGAAATTTTTTACAGTTATAGTGGCTACTGTTTATTGAGTACTTACTATATGCTAAAGACCATATGGGGAGCTTTGTATTCATGATCATGTTTAACCTTTATACCAGCTGTGAGGTATGTATTATTAATGTGCCTAGTTGAGAGGAGAGGAACTAAATCTTAAGGAGGTCAAGCAACTTGCCTGAGGTGACAAAACTGATCAGAGACAAAGGGAAAAACCAAATCTAGCCTGACCGATTTTCAAGTCACTGCCTTTTGACTACTATGGCAGCCTCACGTTTGTATGGGAATTGTCTAGAAAGCAGTGCAACAATTTCTATCAAATTGCCACTGAAAATATGTTACTTTATGGTCTAGTTGTGAATATTTGCCCAATTTGTTTAGCGATTTTGAAGGAAGCTATTTTGCCAGTCCTCTGAAAAATAAAAAGAATCACAAAAAATCCGAGTTATACATTTTTGCCTTATTCATAAACGTGCACTGGTATGGAGCTGTTGGTTTAAGCTATAGATGTGTTACTGCCATGTCACTAAGAAAACTCCCTTTTAAGGTTAGTGGTCTACATACAAGAGGTTTTCATTAAGGAACAGAAGAATTCTATGCTAGAACTAAATGAAATGTCAATAGAAAGAGTCTAAAATATTGTCTGCTCCCTCTGTAAAAACCTACGCATTTAAAAAGATTTACTAATGGAACTGTTTTCAGGAGAAAGAGATAAGCAAAGATGATTGCTTCCTATCATTTGAAAATCAAACCAAACCAACCTACCTTCAAAACAACAAAACAAATCACACACACACACACACACACATGCACACACACATGTGCACACACACAAAACAACTTGTGAAATGAACATAAAAATCAAGAAACATTAGTGAAGACATGTTAGGGAATTACTGATAATATGTCTCTAGTGGTTCAAAAACACTTTCATGTATTTTTTTTTTCCAAAAGGAAATGCTTTAAAAAATCAACAATGGCACTTCTGACTTCTAAGCACTTAGGACCAAGAGCTGTCAGCAATTTGCTGTGTCACATGGAATAGGCGGCGGGTGACAGCCTCCCGTGCCCTCCACTTACATCAGAGGTTCCAGAGATTTGGGCTTAATGAAGATGGCAATCGGATAGAGCTGGGCAACTTGTAACCGCTTGATAGCATTTCCTGACACGTCAAGTATACAGTGTTTGCCCTGGTAGGAAGAGAAGAAAAATATGGAGTTAATCCAGAAAGAATGATCATAATCCAACCAAAACAAACAGACAAACCAAAAAGTAAGTATGTTTTCAAGGAAGGTAAGGGATACTGAATTTCTAATGGTTGAAAAAGGATCACTGCAAAGCATAAATAAAAGTTGATATTCAGGGTCATCACTGATTGCTTTTGATAACTCATCTTTATTACTCCCTTACTAAGTGCCTGCCACGGCAATAGAGATTTTACATGTGTTACCTCAGCTTAATTTTCTTAAATATCTGATGTTTTACAAAAGAAGACGTGTAGCCTTATGTAATATGATTGGGTCCACACTCATGAAGCTCATAAACCATCTCTGAAGATAACTGTCAACAAGAAATCTCCAAATCTACAAGGTAAGTATTACCAGCCACATTTTACGGAAGATAAAACTAAGGCTTAGAAACAATAAGTAACTTGCTCAAAGTCTCAGTGCTAGAAGAACTCAAACCCAAGTCTTGAGCACTGACAGAAGTGTTGGTTGGAATAAGTAGCTACTTCATTGTCTCACCCTGACCAATGTTAAGTCTGGAGTAATGGTAATCATGTGAACTTGGAACAATTCCATAAATACTTGCTGAGTGTTTATATGTATCCTGCCCTGGATATGCTCAGTCCAGTATAGCTAAGGACAGACACAAAAGAGTTACCTTCAATATTTAAATTTCTTGTTTGTTACATGAAAACTCTATTACATACAGCACACCTCATTTAACTGGGCTTCCACTGCAATGAATGCTCAGAGCAAGGAGTTGCTTTATAAAGTATTTCGGGAAAAGTAGATACATTTGGCAAACATCATATTCTAACTCCCAGAGAGAAATGGCCTCATTACCCTGAGGCCAGAAGAACTTTAGAAAAGAAGAGAAAAAGCATTTTGTACAGATAGGAACAGTGCTAAATCAATAATAGGGGATTACAAATTTTCTATAATACCTGCATGAAAACTTAGAGATTGTAGTGAATACTTGGGCTCTTACAGGAGAAACATAATAAGATGGTTCAAACCCTATATCACTTAAGCAATAAATTCCAAGTTTGCTCTCTGTGAAATGCAACAGCTAAACAAAATGTTTATTTATTTATTTGACAGAGAGAGAGAGAGAGAGAGAGCACAAGTAGGCAGGCAGGCAGGCAGAGGCAGAGGGAGAAGCAGGCTCCCCGCTGAGCAGGGACCCCGATGTGGGGCTCGATCCCAGGACCCTGGGATCATGACCTGAGCCGAAGGCAGACGCTTAACCGTAAACAAAATGTTTAAATGCCGTTTGATTATTCACTGGCCAGAACATTTCAAGTTAACAAAGGTTATATTTACATGTTCAAAGAGGAGCATAGATGCAATCATCCAGGAAACTGATTAGAAACACGTGATTTGGCTCAAAGAACCTAACTTTTGAAAGAAAGGAAGAGATGCAGCTTACTGTATTCTCAGATAGACATTAAAATTTCTTGTTTATTTTTTACCAGTACATCAAAAGGCTATGTAAAATCACAACAAATCAACCTAACAAATATTAATTAAAAAACAAATGGGATTGGTTTTTAACTCTTTTCTTTTCTCTCATGAAATTGGCCCTCCGTGTTGACAGGAGATTAGGATCTCTCTATAGGCAGATCTTAGAGCCACACTCAAGTTCCTTCCTATCCTGTTCTCTCTTGAACATTCTCTTCTTTTCCATGTCCTTGAAATTATCAATGGGAAGGAAATGGCAGTATTCACACCGCTTCTAAGTTGGAATTTCTGCCAGCTCTAGGCTAGGCCTTAGCCCTCTTCATCTATCTACCCCTTCACTATGAGTGTCCCAGGTTTTCAGGGCGATAAAATGTAACTCTTGCAAACAAAAAGAATTGAGGACGCTGATTTAAACAACCTAGAGTAATAAAGCTTCCTTAATAAATTCAGTGTTGTTTACTGGGGCCAAAGATAAGTGAGTCAAGGACAAAGTCAATCTCCATAAACTTCAAGCTGTTAATTGCCTTTAGGTTTATAACCCCCTCCTCCCCATGAGTCAGCCAGCATACCTTATTGAGATTAGAACAAAGATTAATGACCTTGCTCTAAAGTCATTCTCTGCTTAAAGGACTTAAAAGGAATATTTAATAAAAGTTTACAACTGCAATCAGGAAAGAGTAATGACCAAAAATGCAGTTTGCCACCTGGAACCTTCTTTAGGGGCGGTATAAGATGATTGGGGGACATACCCTTTCTGCTACGAATCTCACAGACTGCACACTGGTTCCGTATAAGTTGTCATTGTACTGGCCAGCTTCTATAAACTTGTGCTCTTGGATATCTTTCTCCATTTGTTCTCTGGAAATGACAAAGTGATAGTCTCTGCCATCCACCTCATAGTCACGCTTTGGCCTCGTAGTATCTTTATAAAAGAAAAATAATAAAATTAAGGTAATTTATATTCATAAACAGCCTTTACACCTATTTTCTTCCCCACACCCTCAACATAGATATACAAAAATATGTAATATGGAGGACCATGACATAGTAACAGGTACCTGTTACCTGTTAGCCTCCCACTGTACGCAACTACAAAACTAGACAAAGTGTATGGAACAGCCATTGTCAGGCATCAGATGACAGGCAGCCCAGGGCTGTGACCTTGAGACTGGAGAAACACACGAGGGGACCTCTACATTCATTCCACTTCCATTTTCAAGTGGAGGGTCTAGAGGTTACTTAGTGCTAGGAGACACTAGAGTTCAGTCAGAACTGGGTATTTGGTTGAGAACATGGAAAGGCTACTATTTAACATGATTTAATTTAATTAATTAATTAAATTTTTTTTTTTTTTTTTTTTAGAGAGGGAGGCAGGGGAAGGGGCAGGTTCCATGCCCAGCAAGGAGCCCAATGTGGGGCTGGAACTCACAACTCTGAGATGATGACCTGAGCCAAAATTCAGGAGTCAGATGCTTAACTGACTCAGTGGAAAGTCTACAATTTAGAAGGTTACTCTAGATTTATTCTAGACCCACCTTCACAAAGTGTAAAACCAGGTCAGAACTGAAGAAACTGATTTGCCAGTAAATTATTATCAGCCAGAATAAAAACATAATATTCTATAAAGAAAGATAACCAAATCCAGACTCTCAATAACATAGTGTCACAATGTCCAGTACACAATAAAAGATTATGGGACAAACAAAAAAGCAAGAAAATATGTCATAAGCAGGAGGAAAAAAAAGGACAAACAGTAAAAATATATTCAGGGATTTGAAAGATGTGAAATGAGATCATCACAGTTTAGGTGGGACTAAAAGTCATCAATTCTAACCATGGTTAGAGGTGACTGAAGTTCTTAGTAAGAAGAGAAGGGAAAACAATCCTATCAATATAAATAAAAGATGTTAAAATATTTCTAGTCTTTGACTCAGATATTTTCTTCCTAGGAATCTATCTTAAAAAATTATCAAAGCTTCAGATAAAGTTTTATCTTAAAGATATTCATTATATTAATTTATAAATTATAAATAATTATCACATAATTATATTTTAATTATAATTCATAAGAGTGAAAAGGAGAGACAACACAAAATACCCATAAAAGAGGAATGATTATGATGTAATAATCATTTAAAATATTTACATAAAATTTTAAATAATGTTAAGCCAAAAAAATTGTATATATCCAATATGTACCCAGTCAGAGGAGAAAGAGGTGAAACTCTGAAAATATTAACAATGATGTTATCTCTGGATACTCTGAAAGTCTGTATATTTTTAATTTCCTCGCTTAAATTTCTTTTTAGCATTTTCCAGGTTTTGTACAATGAACCTATATTGAGTATCATAAAATAGTGCTATTAATTAAAACAAAAGAAAGCGTGCAAGGTGGAGGGGAAAGTGGGAGTGGTCATTAAGGACTGTCTGGGTTTTTTCTTTCCAAATTGGAGGGACGCACGGGAGGCTGCTATGAATGGAGTAGGGTTTGACTTGATCATTTCTGTCTGGAGTCTTTCTCAAGATAGGCTGTTTGGCAGGATCTGTTCCCAGAGTTCTTGCTGGGAATAGTTTCATGAGATACAGCAATCACTCTAGCTCCCCTCTGTCTCTGCACTTGCACACACTCGACTGTTGCTCTTAGGTATTCTGGGTGACATCTGCAATGCTGAAATATAAGAGACACTTCAAAGCATAAAGCTTCAAAAATGTACAGTGAGAAAGAAAGATTTGTTGGGATAGATTTAAGAGTTCAATTATCTAATAAACTGAAATTCCCTGTGTGTGTGTGTGGGGGGGTCTGTATAAACACACACACACGCACTCACACAGAAACATTTATGTGATGCCGTGGGAGTAGGGGTGAATGGGAAGGTGTAGTATGCATGGGACACAGAGCAGATAGACTCTGATGGGACTATACTCAGTGGGACCAGGAGACCCAATGATCCTCCCTCAGGACAAGAAAGCAGATTACAATCTGGGATGGCCTAGAGGGTAGATGAAAATTTTACATGTCTTCTTGTCTTCACCCTCTCATATCCTGGCACTGTTATCACCCATGGAGAAGGTTGTTTTGTTTTGGGATTGACACGTGGCCCTAAATCATCCTGAGATTATTTTAATACATGGCTTTGTCTCTGATCTCTCTTATTCTATGGGAAGAGATGCTTCAGTGGCATTTCAATCCATTTATAAGAACATACTGATGCCTATCAATAATTCTGTGCTATTTTAAAGGCTATGGGAGTTACAGGATGACAGGATTCATCCTGCCTTCTGCGGGATCACAGTCAGTTTGGAGGATGTATTATACTCACTAAATAGAGAACAATACACAGCAGCACAGATGAGAAGTGTTGAGCAGAGAAAATTGAGATGCTTTCAGATTAAAAAAAAGATGTTCAGATAATAGGTAACTGATAGTGTCCAAATCACTGAAGACACCACTGAGGAACAGAATTACACTTTATCATCTCAAAAGAGGGGGAGCCTTTCTTCCAGCAAAAAGAGAAACGATACTTACGAGGCACACAGGAGCCAAATTTGTCAGGGAATTCAGATATCAAGTCGTCATTGATCCGATCCTTCATGGGGCCCAGGATAATCACTGGCCGGGTATAGTTTACTGCAGAGAGGGAAGGGGAGATGCAAATGAGGGGAAAGACATGAACAGGACGGCACAACTGCTCTGCACAGGTGAGTCTTAAGGTGAAATCACCCAACAGAACTGCTGAGGGCATTACTTCATTGGCTAAGGTGCCCACAAAGCCTGGCAGGAGAAATTGGTGTTTTAACACTAGGTATGTTGGCTGTGCCTACTTTCTGGAATTTTCCAATAGGGAAAAACAACTGCAGTGTCTGTCAATGAAAAGAAACGTTTGGAGGGGTTTTGCTTGCTCTTAGGTTATGCCTACACAATGTCAAAACAACTAAGGAATTTCGTCAATTGAGTGGGAGAAAAAAGATTCCAAAGCAGCTGTCTGGCCATTGTTTAGATAATGACTTTAAGAAGTAATTGTTAGTATAATGACACCTTATGTTTTTTTATAATTTCTTTTCCTCAGCTCAGAATACTCTCTATTCTCTCCTGGGGTTTTCCCAATTCCTTTGTAACATGAGGGTAGAAGGAACTCTAAAGTCCATTTGGTATAACTCCTCCTCTGATGCTTGAATCGTTCTGCAATATCCTTGTCAATAGCCATTAGCCTCTGTATAAATGCCTCCTAGAAAAAGAAATGGAGCAGCCCCAAGGATGACTTGTATCTTAGGACAGGTCTGATAGAAAGCCTTTCTCAATACTCAGCTGACATCAGTCTCCCAGGAGATTTTTATCCATTTGTCCTGTAGGTGGGGCTCTGTAGTGATTCCACTGAGCTCCTTCCACTCAGGACCACTCATCTGGAGGGCTGCCCCATCCTCCTGGGAGCCGCCCCTGCCCATGCTTAGCAGGGAAGTTGTTTGTGCCAAAGAGAGAGCAGGGTCTGGTCTGGGGACAATGGAGTATTAAGCAGAGTTTATCCTCCTTAGTCCTTCACTCTTTGGCTCCTCTAATGGTGTCACCCGATATGGCCTGGAAATCAGGAACCAGAGCATGCTGGGAAACTTACTTTCCTGCCTTGTGACAGGCTCATAAGAAAGAATGAAGTCTTCTTGCCCTCCTGAGAAGAGAAGAAAAGAAAATTACAGTGAACTAACAACCAGTCATATCCCACAGATCCCAGCTACAAGCCCTGCTCTGAAACACAGGAAGCAGACACAGTTCAGGGTTCATTTTCCTTGCTCTTTCCTTGAATCTTTCCAAAAATCCCTCCATCCTCATAAAACTCCAGCACTAGGATAGTATCATGTTCTCAATGGTTATAACTTAAGTCATGAGAGAGACCAGCTACCTGCAATTCATCAGGGCAGTGACCTATGAGACTGCCTTCTGTCTGACACTGAGAAGTGGAGCCCCTGTTACTTACACTTAAAATGAAACCATTCAGTTCAAGGAGAGGACCCATCCAATAGTTTGCTGCCACATCATTCAGAATTTCTGGACCTTTTATCTCATCTTCTATTTTATTTCCCAAAGCAGCACATTGTCCAAAAGCAAGTGTCTGCTGGGTTCATTTACGTTACAAAAACTTCATCAGCATATACCACAGGACACTTGAGATTTTATTCTACTGTTAATTCATCAGGAAAATGCTGGGTCAGTTCAAGAAGATAAAAAATTTGAGGAGGACCCTAAATCACTGATCAGAATTGCTACTAAATCTAGCCTTCCAACTTTGGAAAGAGAACTGAGGAAGACAATGTAGCAAAAGTGTCAGTGCCTCCAATGACATTTACTACAAGCCTTCTGATTCACAGGAGGCCTCGAGTCAAGTTAATGAACTGGGCACGAGATTAGCCTGATTCAGCTGTGACCCCAGAGGATCTACTCTTTTCTTTTTTTTAAAAAAATATTTTATTTATTTATTTATTTGAGAGAGAAAGAATGAGAGATAGAGAGCACAAGAGGGAAGAGGGTCAGAGGGAGAAGCAGACTCCCCGCTGAGCAGGGAGCCCGATGCGGGACTCGATCCCAGGACTCCAGGATCATGACCTGAGCTGAAGGCAGTCGCTCAACCAACTGAGCCACCCAGGTGCCCGGATCTACTCTTTTCTTTGCATCAGGCCCAGGCCTGACTGTGTTTTGATAGGGAAACAGTTTAGGGATATTGGAAAGGACTTCCTGTATGCTGTTCTATAGAGGAATGTTATGGGAGGTAGTATTTCCTGAAACCAAAGGGCAACACAACTGGTTGCTTTATCTGCTCATCCCCCTTGAAACACATTCCATCTGCCAATGTGCTCCTCCCTTAGCAGACAGCACCAGGAAAGGTGAGTTAATTTCATAAAAGGAGTTAATAATACAGACAGTTTTGATAATGACAACTAATTTGGGGAAATTAGGCAATATATGGATAAAGCTGTGAAGTACAGATGTCTTCCCTGGACCCAGGTAGCTGGGATGGGGTAGGGTGAGAGTGTCTTACTTTTTTCAAGTGTGAGAAATGGCCCCAAGTGGAGTATTAAGCAGAGTTTATCCTCTCTCCTCACCCTTATGCAGGCTTACTCTGAGAATGGCACAGCTAGGCTAGGCTACTTCATCATGGCATGGAGAATGAGCCTTGAGGTTCCTTCTCAGTGACGTCTACTCATGGCTGCTCCAAGAATGTTCAGGGACTTTTCTACATCTGGGGTTTGGTATGTGAGTAGTCAGAGTCACAATTGTTTTTTTTTTTTTTTTTTAATTTGGGAAAATATGATTCCCTTTAATAAACTAAACAGCTGAAATTTGCAGAGTCTAGGCCAAAAAATAATGAAGGTGATTGAGTGCTAAGATCCAGTTATCTAAAGCCTGAGATAAGGTAGAGGTCATAGGAACTCAGAAGGTAAGCGTAAAAATGGCTGGGGACAAAGTATAGCTTTAGGGCTAGAAACATGGCTGACTAGTACTGTAGTGTTTGTAACTTCACAGGGAAATCTTTATGGACTGACTAATATGTGAGAGGAGCATCCTGAGCACAGGATAACAAAGCTTTTAAACATCAGGAGATACTTATGCCTCTCTACTAGACTGGGGATTCCATAAAGGCGAGGACTGGCTTTCATTTACCATGTCATCTCCAGTGCTCAACATAGAGAAAAATGTCAATGAATTTGCATTCTGATTTTAGTGGTAGGAAATGGGATGACTAATGAGGCCAAAGATAGGTTTTCCTTTGTGTTTCTGTCCGTATGCTTTCACTTTGGGAAGTGTGGTTTTCTCTAAATAAATTTAACACGTCATGTTCCCATAGGAATCTTTTTCCAATGTCCTTACAAATCATTCTGATGGGATATTCTAAGGCAGACCTTAAATAAGATATTCGGTGACAGTAGGTTTCGTTTGTGATTCAGAAAACTAGGACAAAGCAACACAGCTTTGGTTAACTTTGTTGGAGAGTTCTGTAGTTCTTTTGTTTATCCGTTGCTTTTGGGTTTACTTTCTAACTTACAAAGGGCACTGGTTCTTGTTCAGAGCAGGAAGACTGGCAGATCGCAGTGGCAGCATCCTTATGTCAAGGCCCATCCCACTTCTAAAGACCCTGTGACAGTCAGGTACTGCATTAGGAGTACCTGACCCGCAGGGGAGCTGGGGTGGATGGGATTATGTCGTAGCTGTGATCTCAGCACCTTAAACCCATTTTTCCTTTCATGTTCGGGAATGAAAAGCCCTATGGGTAATGTGAAGGAGACTAAGAGGAGGAGGGGGGGAAAAAAGCCACAGCAATGAAGGAAAGATAATTCTGTACGGCCATAAAGGGCTTTCACATCCATTATTTTCTGTTTTTCACAGTTATTTCTGTTGAGGTAAGTGCTCTGATGACCCCACTTTATATATGAAGGAGCTGAGGCTCAGAGGTGTTAATGGGGCTTGTTTTCTCAGTCAGGAAGTAGTGGAGTCAAGATTTAAAACCACATCTTTTTTGACTCCTCGTTGAAGAGTCGGCAAGAGATGGAGAATTTTCTGATGGGGCTAGGATGTAGGGGCAGACCTTACCAATGAACAAAGAATGGGTGGCAGAGAGTGGAGCTGAACCCAAGGCAGAGTCACTGGGTGGCTGGAAGGGGCTCCATCTGTAAACACCAACTGGTTTTATTTTTTTTTTAAATGCTGCTGTGTCATCTCTATACAAGAGTCATCCTTAGTAGTTTTTCTATTTTTTGCTCAGGAGGTGTTGGCACTTAGAAATAACAGCTGACAAAAAGTTACAAACTATTACTTGGTCTTGTTTTGGCAAGTGCATGGCTGGAAGTGGGAGAGCAGCAGTGCTGGGTGCAGACAGCGGCAGCTGTGGGAGAGTTAGAGGAGGCGTCTGCCAACAGTCTCCACCGGACCCTCTGTGTCTGAACTGGAAGCAAGTCACAATAGGAGGGATTCAGAGGAAGACCCTCCTATGTCCAGATGATAGAGAAAAGCAACTTGGTGTTCTTTAGGAATTTTTGGAAACTAGAAAAGACAGAGGAGGGAAGGGAAGCCCAATGGCAGTACATTTAATGTCCTAAATGTAGTGTTTCGTGCCTGCATTGGATGATTTTTAAGAAGAAATTAGGTTCTTAGAGGCATAGAATGTTAGCTCTAAGAAAGGGCTTGGAACTCATGGGGTTCATAGACAGCGAGTATGTGGCACGTGGTGTCACTCCCCCATTCCACGCCCTTGGTGGACACCACAGATTGATCACTGCCCACATTACCACTGGGCCTCAACCTGGCCTCGGTACTTTTCAGTACAATTCTTCTGGCAGCTATTACCCATCGGTCAGAGCTGGGATCTTGGTTCAAATCTGCTTGCCATCTGTGCTCTAACTCAAGCTACTCAATAGACATAGGAGAAGACTGAGGTTCAAAGACGATGAGTGATTTCTTCAAGGTCACATCGTAAATTAGTGTTTCAGTGTCTCCATAGGATGTTCAGAAGATTAAATCAGTTAACGTACATAGAACTCTTAAAACCGGGCTTAGCGCACAGTTAATGTTACATAAAGGTTTCTGCTTGTATTGATAGGTGGTATGGAATAGTTGAAATGTACAGGATAAAACATGAGGAGGCTGGTATTACAGACTGTCGGGAAGAGTGACAACGTAAGGAATTCAGAAGCAAAATATCTCAACTGGTCTTCCAGAGTGCCACCATATTGTGATCTCAGCACCTTAAACAAGCTTTAGCTTCCTCATCTGTAAAACTGAGCATTAACATGAGATATATCTCATAGTTTTGTTGCAGAAATCAAATAAGAAAATGGATAATGAAAAATTGCTTTGTAAAGGCTAAAGAACTAGAGAAAATACAAGGGCCACACTTTAACACAGCAGAGAAAGGAGAAGAATATGGGCATTACTTGGACAAATTCCAATGGAAAAGTTTTGGGTCTCCTCTTATCAGCACTCAATTCCACTCAGATCGTTCCTTCAAGGTCTGTGTTTTGAAACTCTTACTTAACCGATGAACACCAATAGGTTAGAAAGATAATCATCAGTTCCCCAGTACCCATCATGATATAAAGAACTTTGTGAGCTTTGAGGAAGGCAGGTCTCAGCTGCAGAGGTCTGCAGTCTTCATTATACCTATATTGTCTATTACTGTGTCCTAATACAAGGACATCTGAAAGCTAAGATATAAAAACAACCACAAACACAAGCCTGTACTGTACGACTTTGTTGACAGAGAGAAATCTGGAATTAGTCCATAATTAAGATAGTTTTGAGGGGGTATTTTGCATAATTATACAATGTGCACTGTAATTAACTGCATTTTAGCTAGTGCTCGATATAGTTGGACTTTGAAAAGTTCTATTTTATAATATTGAGATGGTGCAGGAAAGGTCTGGGCTGTTTATTAGAAATTGAGGTTTGTGTAAGTATGTGTGCGTATCTCAGGAAACGTATGAGGCTTTCAGTTAAGGTGGTCACAACACGTAATTCCAGGATGCAGTGTGAATTGTCCTTCTGGAGCTACGAGACATAGTGGTCTGGGGCTTTGTTTCTAACCACTGACCATTTTTTAAAGCACTGTGTCCCAGAGTGGCCATGGAATGGTTCTAAGAGTGAAAAATAACACCTGGACGTCAGTGGGAAAGGGGCTTT